ATTTCAAAACTTCTGTTCCTCCGTAATCGTTGTGCGAAGAAGAGATACTATCATAAAACTGATGAAAATACACGAACCAATACATCAGGTACGCAAACACTCACACACACATACACACACACACACTCACACACACATACACACACACATATACACACATACACACACACACACATTCTTACAGACACTGACAGGCACGCATGCAAACACATACAAACGCATTATTATTCATATTTTACTAGAATTTATGATCTAAATGGTGGTGTTAAAGCGTGGGAAATTGGGGCAAAGCACTTTTCCCAAAGCACTAACCCTAACCCCCCAATATTTTTTTTCGGGGAGCAAAGTATCATTTTGCTTCCCCCAAAATTTTGACTTAAAAATTCATTAAAAATCAGTTCACTTTTATTTTTAACTGGAATTCGTGTTTATTTACAGTAAGTTTTTTTGAGCGTTCGTCTTAAGCAAATAAGTGAAGCCTTCAGTATTAGAAACCAGCTTTTAAACAAATTATTTTCAAAGTGCCGCATCGCGTTACCATAGCAGGGAAGCTTTAAAATCAATTTCACTTTTAAACTTTAATAATTAATACTTATTTTAATTATAATTAATTAATTAATTAATAATTAATTACTGTTTCTCACGTTTTTTATTATTAATTGTTTTCAGTATTAAAATATATTTTGTTAACAGATTAAGTTAAGTGTTTTTAATAAAAATATTATCGTATTAAAATTTAATTGAAATTTTTTATGTAAATATAATAGCTGGGTTAGTTAATTATTATAAGATTAATCATTAATTAGATCATTAAGATTAATAACTGAATTAATTGTTGTTCAATTAAAATTAAATTAAATAAGTTGATTGAATTTGAATTTGTTGCTCTTAGCGTTCTAATTACTCGCGCCCTTTTTGTCTGACACCTTTACATGATTCCTCTGTTTCTAAATTTATTAGATTTATTAGATTATTTAATAATTAATTTATTATTTATTATTATTTATTTATTATTATTATTATTATCTATAATTTATTGTTATTATTGTTGTGTGTGTATGTGTGTGCGTGTGTATGTGTGTGTGGGTGGTTCGCAGTGGCAGTTGATCTGGACAACTTAGTGGAGGGTCCAAATTTAAGGCTGAAAATTGGCAGCAAAAAATTATCTCTTTTTAAATGTTTTCAGTATGTTTCAATGTTGAATGGCTAAAGACTTTCATTTTTCGAATTTCGTCATTTTTCGTCAAAAAGACATTTTTCGGTTAGAAAAGTGTGTTTTACTGGCTTGGTTCTTCTTCAGACTGAGCTAGCATGTTCACCGGAATCTTTTCACCATTTGAAAATATTTTTTTTAAAAAGATTTTATTTTTGCTAAAAACTTCCATGCCCTGAACGTCACTGGGTAAACAATATCAAAATATATAGACCAAAGTTGTGAGAACATCTCGAAATAAATTCTTTATAAATGATACAATTTCAATTTCAAATAACTCAAAAAAAATGAATGTTACCGAAAAAAGACCAATTTTAATAATTACAGTGTTGAATTGACTGTGCCATTAGCTCATTCTACTCTATTAATTAATTTAATAAGTTAATAAGTTTATAAATTTAAATCCAGATAAACCATGATCAAAGCACATCATTCATTTCTAACGCTCATAGCCATGTTGGTGAACGAGGTATACTCAAATACAGGTCTGTATTTCTTTGTAATGAACACACATACACAAACACACACGCCTAAGCCTCCTCCCACACACACACACACACAACACACACACAGATATATATATATATACAATTATTTATAAAGATCACTGCGTTTTTGGCTAGTTTCTTTTTTTCTCTAGGTTCATTATTGAGATTAGAGTTAACGTCACTTTCATCAGTAACGACGCATTTAGTTCATGTTCTTGCCGAAGACGCAGTGATCTTTATAAATAATTGTATTTATGATAGTCTAAAACCCCCAAAAAATATATATATATAAATATATATATTATATAATCTATAAATTCTACCGAATGTTTGGCGTTAACATGTTTGTAGTTCGTTTTTTCGATTTTCTCACTAAAGTTTTTTGGTTAACGTTTAGTTTATTAAAATTCAAAATAAACTTATTTTCCGGATTCATGCTGCAAATAAGGCCATATTTCGATTCCGAATGAATCATCATCATCAGTGCGGTTAATGTTTATATAGAAAAATATTGACTTTGTCAAAATGAACTTAGATGGAAAAACGAACTACAAACATGTTAACGCCAAACAGTCTGTAGAATTTATAGAATATTGTAAAAATTATGGTCTATCACCAACAAATATATATAAACTCACACACACGCCACACACACAAACTAAACCGTTTTTTCGGTAATTGCCGACTTTCTTCCTACATTTCTCAAGTTTTCTCAGATAAAGTCAGCCACCTAATCGTCGAAACGTGTGAGGACATAGTGTGCATACCTCCCGAAGGCTGGAAGGTCCGTGCTCTGCGACCGGTCTCAAATTCAGTCAACTACACCAGTTTCGTCTTCAAACACATCATAAAATTTGATCAGCCTGGTGAGTATGATGTCTTCTGTGAGGTTATCAAGGAACTGGAGAGCAAACGGATCAATGGGACGGTTGTTGTTAATGGTATCGGTAGAAACTTTTGAGTTTTATTCTCGTTGTTTGTACGTTCATGTGAATAATTCGTGAATTATATTAAATTATTATTAAATTAAATCAGACTATTAAATTTTAATTCACTTAAAATAGAATTATATTTGAAGTGTAGCCTCCTTTGATTGTGACCAGTATTTGTATTAAAGTCAGTAAAAGAGATTTTCAAAATTTGGGCCAGCGTCAAACTTTTCCACATCCGCCACTGAATGTGCACACATTTTTCCAAACCCACTCTTGCAGTCTGTTTTCATGATATTTACTATTAGCAATATCCAAAAGTAACAACATCATAAACATATGCACACACCAAACAGACACACACAAAGGAACACACAAACACACACACAAAGGAACACACAAACACACGCAAACAAACAAACACACACTATCAAACGCAAACACAAACAAACACACAACAGAGTTTGAGAATCCGCGTGATCACAATAAGTACACACATCCGAAAAAATTGAATTCCATTGACTGAAGGGATTTCCATGTATTCAAATTCGGTCACTGCTATAGTTGAGCCAGAAGCCCCAACTGTTACACCATCTCACCATTAAATTTCTGAAATCTTTTAGCTGGAAAATCTTCTAATTGTCGGGATGGATACACTACAAAGATTATTGAAAGTAACTACAATTTATATGTGTTTGTAGGTATGTGTGTATGTATGTATGTAACTTTTAACTGTCGTTCTATATATTGCTTAAATATATAGATAACTATGTAATGTATATCCCGTGTTTTTCTGGATAGATACCAAACATTGTTATACATAAACCATGAACCATCGTATTAACAACTAACACCTTTTTTGTTAACATTGAGTTTGTTAACTTACTAACAACTAACATCTAACATGCCTCTCATAGATCATTTAGGAAAAATTTTTATTATTTGCTGAAAATTTGTGTGAACTTGGAACATTTCTGTTTAGGTGGCCATACTAGATGAAATTTATATAATATCTATTATGGTCATCCTGCTTTCTTTTAATTTTCAAGTTTGAGATGCAAATAAAATTTCGTTTCGTTTTGTATGTATGTACGTTTCGTTTCGTTTCGTTTCGTTTCGTCTGTATGTATGTATTTATGTATGTATGTATGAACATGTATGTATGTATGTTTGTATGTATGCTTGTATATATACAAAAAATACAAAGTTGAAAGGCGGGACTTTGAGTTTTCTGAGATGTTTCTCACTCTACTTTACTGTACAATCCCTGTCGCTACGCTCATACTCGTCATCATACTCCTCATGGGCTTCTGTCGGAGAAATGGTAGAAATTATTTCTTATAAAATTATTAATTACTATTATAATATAATAATTTATAAATTAATAATCAATATTATAATTAATAATTTAATATAATAATTAAATTATATTAAACGGTGATCGCCAGTATTCACAGACACTGTTGTATTTGTGTTTGTTTGTGTGTGTGTGTATTTGTTTGTGTGTTTGTTTGTGTTTGTTTGTGTTTGTTTGTGTGTGTCTGTTTGGTGTGTGCACATGTTTATGACGTTGTTACCCTTGAATATTTATTGCTAAATATAATATAATATAATTTAATAATAATAATAGTAGTAATAAAAATAATAATAATAATTTTTTTTTCTTATTATAATTATTTAAAATTGTTTAAAGATTATTTACACTATCCAAGAACACTGCCAAAAATTCCAACCAATGCTGCAATTGAAAGTTTGAAGATTTTTCTACTGATCTGAAAATATTTTAATAATAAATGTTATATTATTAATAATATTATATTAATTAATAATAAAAATAGTAATTAATAATTATTTTAATTATTTAATATCGGTGGGTTACTAGAAAGAGTGCTTTCGAAGGGGGACATACTCTTATATAAAGAATATACTAAGTTAACTTCATTAGCTTCATTACTTAGGGAATTATTTTGAACAACTAATTATAGATATGCGCTTGATCTGACTTTGATTGGGCGTTTATCTAAACCGCTTTACAATTTTACATGCAATTTTTCTTTAGTATTCATTCAAAACTGGAATACTGTCTTTGGAATTTGAAAAAAGATTAGAATCGCGGATGTAATATAATATATCCAATCCATGGTTAAAATCTTAGAATAAGTTATTCCCTTATTGGTTTTTGGCTTAGTGGTGCCAGAATTAACATACACAATGGTGGGTTTTTTGTTAGAAGGTGTGGTTTATAATTAAGAAATTGATCCATTGCTTGCTCCCTCTGTGATGGCTCAATTGTTAAAGGCGCCTTGTCTTGCTGCTGCAGTAACTGGGTTCGAATTCAAAGAGATCCTCGACTACCATATGCAATGTGTA